AAGGGGAACATCTAAAGCACCTCCCAATCCTTTCTGAAGATCAGTGGATCAGCCTGGGCAACACAATACCTTCACTGTTGGGGAGGGGAAAATACTAGGAGCTGGTGGTGATACAGAGTAGGAATTCAACCAGTGTTAGCCCCCTGCTCTGAGATCCCCAAATAACCTGCCTTTTGTCTTTTCCACGTCCAAGTATCCATTTTGGTGTTCTTACTCCAGCCCTACTCCTTGCAGATACTCTTCTCATGACATTAGCTCTTCCAGTTGATTGCGTAATTATGTGTTGAACATTTGAGAATATAAGAAAGCCTGAATGAGGGTTCTCTTGTTGAATCTATCTGTTTATATCAAAAAAGCATAACATCTTGAAATCTTTTAATATATTTCATGATGAACTGACCATGATGTTAGACAGGTTTCCCATCCTCTAATACTCTGTACAGTGAATTGTTTCTATATTACAACAAAATAGATTAGCTATCCATAATTTCTGTTAGGCTATTATGACATATACTTTTCTTATCTTATGACTCGTCCCATTTCTTTGTAGATCCAAGGCATTCCTATTACCAATCAAGAATTTGGCCTAAGTGAAACTGAGCCTGGCACTGCCTTTCTCTATTCACAATTTGATGGCATCCTGGGTTTGGCCTATCCTTCCCTTTCTGCTGGTGGTGCCACCACTGTAATGCAGGGAATGATCCAGGAGAATTTGATAGGTGCTCCTGTTTTCAGTTTTTACCTGAGTCAGTAAGTATGAAGTCCTTTCTTTCTTTCTTTCTTTCTTTCTTTCTTTCTTTCTTTCTTTCTTTCTTTCTTTCTTTCTTTCTTTCTTTCTTTCTTTCTTGATTTGACTGTTTCAGTTTACCACAATTATTACCCACTTGTCTTCTATACCTTGTATACAACTTACACCCTTTGTCAACAAGAGTTATAGAGAGTATTTCTATGGCTGGAATTTCAAAATGGACAACTTAAGATCACAGGGCCTTTTTGTCCTTTGGTTTCTCACATTACACATTTCTTTTAGGAAGCTATCTAGTGAAAGTTTCTCTAAAATACTTATAGTGGATACTCTTTGGATTACAGACTTCAGATCCAAGAAAGCACTTCTTCATATTAATTTAAAAGACAGAGAGAGAGTTTTTTAAAAAAAATATCAACTTTACATTGCTATGTAGTACCAATATTAGGTGGTACTGAGGAAGAATAATTGCTCTAGAAAATATCCTATCAGTTTATTGCAGGAAAGAGATTTGAACACAGGCCCTTTTGATAGTGAAATTACTAAGATAGAGAGTATTATTTTTTACCTTATCATAGTTGTCCTTCACTCTGTGTACCTCCTGATTTGCCTGATGATCTCGTAGCACTCTTTAGCATCTTTCCAGGATGGACACAGAGAAAAGAAAAGACCTATTACCTGTCATCCTGGACGATAGATTTAAGATTTAAGATATCAGAATCAGATTCTATATTAGTATTTTGAAACATCTAGCTATATGAGCAGTTTGACAGTTAACCAAATACCCAGAGAGATTTGTTAGAGAAGAGCATTGTGAGTGACCATCCATGGCTGGTTTAAACCAATGTTTTTCACACCTGGTAACTTTAAGATGGATGATTTCAGCTTCCAGCATGCTAGCTAAGGAATTCTGGGAGCTGAAGTCCTCCCAACATAAATTGCCAAGTTTGAAAAATCCTGGTTTAAACTGAATTCCAGCCCTTAGTGAGACTAGATGGCCTAAACGGCCCCTTCTATTTCTAGGGTTGCATCATATCTCCTTTGGCTTAAGGCAGCTCTTCAAGGAGGATATTATTTCCCAGTGAAAAGGCCCTCATACACAGGTCCTTTAGTCAGCTAAAATGGAAACATTGGTATGAACCAGCAATATATCTCAACAAGATTGTCCTTCTGGCTTTCTCCATTAATCTTATTAGGCAGCCAAGCTCCCAGAATGGTGGTTCACTTATATTCGGAGGAGTCGATTCCAATCTCTACAATGGTCAGATTTACTGGACTCCAGTCACCCAAGACTTGTATTGGCAAATCGCGATTGATGGGTAAGGTTGTTTTCAGTTGTAATATTTACCGAAGAGCCTGATGGAAAAGAAACAGAAACAGGCAAAGTATTAAATGGAGAGGTATTCAATTGAATGTAATATGATTTCATTGTTATGCCCTCCTCATTCTCTTCTTTATTTTGGCTCCACTTAATCTTGGGGGGGAATCCCTTGCTTCCTGTACCAAGGCATCTCTGATTCTACTAGTAGCAGCTGGTCAGTAGTCATTAATTTTGTACTCTACAAATATGGTTTTCCAGCTTGCTTTTATTTCTGGGACAATCCACTTTTTTTCCTCTTTGGAACCCCCCCCCCCCGGACTCTGGTGGTCCTGGGCAAAACAACAAGCTGATTTTATATTAAAATGACCACAGCTGCTCCCGTTTCAGTGATGCTACTGGGTATCTTTTGACTAAGTGTGCAAGAACAATATAACAGCGGGTTTCTCTGGACTTTCTTTCTGTAGATTCCTGGTTAACAACCAAGGCACCAACTGGTGCAGTCAGGGCTGCCAGGGGATTGTGGATACCGGAACATCACTACTCACTGTTCCTGGGCAGTTCTTTCAAGAGCTGATGCAGAACATTGGAGCTCAACAAAACAACAATGGCGCGGTAGGGAAAAATTGCTATGTGCAGGGTCGAAAAAATCTGAGCGAAACTGGCAGTCCTTAATTTCCACAAGATACCTGGGATACTCTTATTGTGGGCATGAAAATATTTCCCAAATGTATCCAATACCAGATGATGGAGAAACCGACTCCCTTAATACTCATTTCATTTATCTCGGCAACAGGAATTGTGAGGTAGGGTGGGAGGAGGGAGAAAATGTACAGCTCTCTGGCAGGACCCACCCTAGTTGCTAGTTCTTCATTTAGCTTTTGTCAAAGTAAACTGAACCAAACAAGATGCCAGTGGAGGTTCAACTCCCACCCATCAGCCAGTATAGAGAAGAGTTGGCTTTTTCTTAAGAAGGCTAAAGTAAGAAATAGAGTTTTCCCTTCTAATGCATCTTGATATTGAATTAAGCCAGTGTGCTTTTACAGGAAAGTAAAAAGGTGAGAAGGGGAGCAGAATGCTGTGTAATTTACTTATTTACTGTCTAGTTTATCCCTTAGAATATTGTACTTATGGTTTTTGCACATTTTCTCTTTATTTTCTTTCCTATTCTATAGTATGTGGTTAGCTGCAATAACGTTCAATACATGCCCACTATCACATTTGTCATCAATGGAAATTATTTCCCCCTGAGTCCATCTGCCTATGTCCTTCAGGTAGGTCATTCTTTTCAACAGCTGTTTTCATGTTGGTCTTAGGTATCTGTAATTACCTTGTGTCAGCCATTTACAACTGCTCTATTGAAAGACATAGCACACGGTATCTCTTCATGTCGAAGAAAAGAGCTAAAAAAGTTGACAAGATATTATATAAAAAACATTACCTAGATATGGGGCATCAGAAGGCGCAGTATGGTGTAAAGTATGATGCCATTAATAAAATAAATATTTGAGAGGCTTGGGTAATTGAAGCGAATAATTTTTTTCCTGGTGGTCCATGTATTGAAACCAACAATACTTGTGATTTAGATCATACTTTTCCTGTAGGGAATTGAGTAATAATGAACTGAGCAGGCCTAAAAATGTGTTCTTTAAAATGAAGTTATAGAATAGTGTATAGTTTTGTGGTTAAAAATCTTGCAGAGTTTTATATGTGATCACAACTGTAGAGAGTTTGAATACTGAAAGTTAAACTTTGCTTTCGCAAGTTAACTGTCTCAGGTTATTTCTGATATTTTGAGAAAAATGCCTTAGCCCAAGAGTTTTAATGCAGTCTATGTCTTTTCCTCAATAGTATTCTAATAACAATTGCCAGATTGGCATAATGCCTACTTACCTGCCATCCCAGAATGGACAAC